CTTAGCATTATAGCAACATTTAGGTCCAGAAGTGCAGAGTGAACGATAAATGCACAATGATAAGTTTGCCCCCTTATGCATAAACCTTAAAAAATGGTCTCCCAGTATATAGTTTTATATTATATATCACATAATACAACTGGCTAACGGTACTACACTGATGGTCTGCAGAAGTCATTACTGGTTACAATGCTGGTTAAAAAATCAGGCAAGAGCTTTTCTTGTGTCCTATTATTAAACAGTCACCGCTGAGGGGCTCCCTTGTGGGATAATCTAGAATGATAGTGTTTCCCTTCAATGCCCATTAGCCTTCGCTTTGGTTAGAAAACTCACGCTGAGCATTCAGGGAAGAAGAAGGCTAGAAGCACAACAGGCTAAAAGAAAAATCTGGAGGGCAGGAGGTTTGTTGCTTAATTGTATGTAGCTAGAAGAGCATGTGTTAAATTTGAGTACGATACTTAGCCGTTTTGTTTGTTTGTTTTTCCTTTTCTGTTCTGCTGAGAGGATGGGACAATGGATGTTCCAGTCTTATTAATGGAAGGAAAAAGACCATCCCAGCTGCAGTGCTGCTGACCCAGGTCCCATTATCTCAATTTCCTCCATAACATCCTCCAAATCTGTTCACTTCTGTCAGGGAAAGTCAATTAAGAGCTGTTTCACATGGTCACACTTCAGTTTCAAAGCTATTCTCATGAGAGAATCAGCCTCAGCAACCACTATCTCTACAGTAGCTCTCTGCAAAGTCAACAAGCCTAGGTTTAGCTGCTTGTTTCTGAAATTCAGCACAAGGGAACTAAACTGTGCTTCACATAGCTACCACACCTTGTCAATTCCCATTTTACTGGGGAAAAAAAATCAAGCTCACCGTGAGCAAACAAAATGCAAGCAAGTCTTCACACACTTGTCCTATTATTAGTCAAATCAGTGGCAAGCTGTGCCACAATTAATGTAGTGAAAATACATAGTGATTTTTCATCTTAATTGTTGATGAGGGCTTACCACGCTCTGAGCTCAACATCAGCTCTACCTTGAGAGTGGGACAAGAAGCCTTACACAACACAATAGCTAACTCTCCGGGGCGCTATCGATGACTGATATGTACCGCATTTTATTTATAAGTACCTTTCTCAGACCTGAAGAAGAGTGCTGTGTAGCTCAAAAGCTTGTCTGTTTCACCAACAGAAGTGGGTCCCATAAAGCATATTACCCCACCCAACTTCTCTATCAGGATATGATCCAATTAGCACACATAACGCATCAGAGGTTTTTAATAGTCCTTCCGTAGGTATGGACGTGCCCTCTGGGCACAGGAAGCAGTACTAGTTATTGTTTCTGTTGCAGTCCATCAGAGTGCTTCATCTTTGCCTCTGGCAAAAATTACTGTGAGTGAGTGAAGCCTGGCTAGCTCTGGTCTAGGATTTCATATTTACAAAAGGTTTTTTCCTCCCCTTTTACAGCGATTTACGGTTTCATCTGGTTAAGATGGTAAATTTGGGACTAAACTGATGCCTGAAAGCCCACAGAAATGACTCTCTCAGTTTTACAGGTTGTCTGAGCTCTGAATGGCAAGTTCTGTGGTGCGGGAACATTGGAACAATGGAGGAATTGGTTTCCCCTCACTATACTAGTAAGAATGAACTTCATGACACTGCACCTGTCAGGCATGTATACTCAAGGTCAGGGAAAGTTCAATAACTGAGATGATCAGCATCATTACAGTACAGGGATTCAAAGCTCCAGATGACGTGTGTTAGTTGGGAAGCCTATGCAAAACATTCACACTGTGCACAAAGGTTACAAAACTGCATGAAACCTGAAGCTCAGCCCAAACTGTTTGTTACCTTCAGAGTGAACCATGGCTGATTTATGATTTCATGCTAAAACCATGTGAAATTTCTGGCTGTGCATGGTTTCAGTGCAGAGCCTGGTGAAACAGCAGTTTTGCCTGAGTTTTGCTTTGAGTTTGTGAGTTCATTCAAACTTGGAGCTCAAAGGCACATTCATTCAGAAGGCATAAACCCATGTAGACCAAAACTAAGGAGAAGGACATTCTTGGAATCCTGAGAATCAGAACTGCACACATTTGCACAGCTTTACAAATTTGCCTAATTATTACAGCACATACACCGTGTAAAAAAATTGATGCCTAATCCATCAGATGTGCTCTGGTTAACTTTACTGTATTTGGTAGAGAAGGAAGAAAATGTTTTTTATTTTCATGTAAAATGTATGCCATGACTAATTATCAACAGCAAGTGTCAAAGCTTGCACCTAAACCCACAGTTTTGTCCCATCTGTGATAAAACAGTAAAGTAATTAGTAGCTAGTGCATTAGAGATTCACATCTTAGTTGATGAAATTGTGTACATCCAGTCAAAAATTACTATGGTCAGAAAGCATCTGGGCTAAGCACAAGTGGATATTAGGGAGAATGTTTTCAGTACAATAGGCTCGGATTAAAAATAAATGAGAGACATGCATTTAAATGGCTTTGCAAATAGCAGATAATTCTGGTGAAAGCTCTGGTGGGAAAAGCATTGCATGGTGAGAAGTATCTAATGACTCTGAGGAAAGCTATAACGTAAATAATTAACACTGATATAAAGATAACTGCGGAGAGGTCGAAGACGCATTGCGAGGGTTAAATAACAGGAGAGCTGTGCAGAAATCTACTAAAGCAGCCAGGATTTCCACTGGGAGCAGCTGTATGTTATTTTTTCTACTAAATCCTGTTTACCAAGAAGCTCCATACCGGAGATGGTAAATATATTCTTTACCCTGGCACTGATAAAAGCAGCAACTTGCTTTAATGAGGTGAGTGGCTGTCACCTTGGCTGAATGCTCAGTTTCAGCAGATACTATCACTATGTACCGACTGCCGGTTCAAGGAGATGCATTGGAGGGGCTCAGAATATGAATGACTTTCCCAATTTTTATATATCTGTTTCAGGGAATGGGCTAATATAAGTGAAACTAGAACTGTTGGGATGTACAACTAAAATGATGAAGACAACACCTGTACCCAATCTGAGGTTGAAAGATAGAAGATACATTTTTAATAGTGTAGTAATATTCTCATGCTATCAGTGCATTTAAACAGACTATAAAGTCTAGTAGTGACTTGATATAACTTATGTTCACAGCTATGCCAGGAACACAATAATAATTTATCAGATGGTCATTGTGTCCTTTAAACATGAATTCACACTCCAAAAACACAATGGGGCCTGATTCTGCATTCAGAAAACATTCAGTGGGAGTTCCATGTACAGAATGGCTTTTGAATCGAGCTCATTGTATATATATGTGCGTATGTTGTTTGATTTTCATCTCTTTATCATCTATCCCAGACCGATTATATGCCTTTGCAGATGTGATGGACTAAGAATCTCCCATTTAGTCTGTACTGTATTTATCCATATTCAAAGATTATTAGGTTTCAGAGTGATAGCTGTGTTAGTCTGTATCAACAAAAAGGAGGAGGAGTACTTGTGGCACCTTTGAGACTAACAAATTTATTTGGGCAAAAGCTTTCATGGGCTAAAACCCACTTCATCAGATGCATGTGTAAGGGGACTGTTGCCCCCTTACTAACAGTCAGTGGGGTGTTTTGGTGGCTAGCTCCCAGTACTAAAAGGGGAAGGGTCGATGGGGAATCAGGACCCTGAGACTGACAGTCCCCAGGAACAATGGGGAGAGGCCAATGCTCCAGGTCAGCCTGAATGACAGGGCGGGCAGGCTAATCAGGGAGTCAGGAGGCCAGGGAGGTCCCGTCTCCGTGTGAGCTGGATTTGCCTGGGTCAGACAGAGTGGGGCTGAGCTAAGGAGAAAGCAGGGGCCCAAGCTAAGCTGGGGAGCAGAGCTGGGCCAGATCCAGAGGGACCAGAAAAGCAGCCCAGAGAGAGCAGACCCTGTCCTGGGACCAGAGCTGCAGCTCCAAAGCCAGAGGCACAGCCCAGATCGAGCAGACTTGCCCTGGGAGGAGAGCTGCAGCGACCAGAGCCAGAGGGGCCAGAAAAGCAGCCCAGGAAGCAGGTCAGTGCTGGGAGCAGAGTCACAGAAGCAGCCTGCAGAGCAGACCTGTCCTGGGAGCAGAGCTGCAGCAACCAGAGCCAGAGAGGGGCCAGGGAGCTGGAGGCAGAGCAGCAGCAGCCATGCAGAGACCGAGTGGTGGAGCTGGGGCTGGAGCAGTCTGGAGCTGGGTGCGGTGAGCAGCTGGGGAGACCGAGGGGGACCCTGGGCAGCGGGCCCAGCACAGGGAGATGCCTCAGCCAAGAGGCTCTGCAGGCCAGGCTTGGATCGTAACCCTGACAGGGCAGGGGTGACACAGGGCAGAAGGGTCCTACCACTTAGAGCCTGAGAGCCTGTGGCCACCACCAGAGCAAGTGTCCAACCCACAGCATCCCTGCAGCACAGCCAGGGCCTGAGAAGGGGCCTGGCACTTACAAGGAGCAGACTGTGAACTGCCCTGACGTTCCAGAGACACTGTCTGTGATGTTCCCTGCCACCGAGTGGGTTGATGTGTTTCCTTTAACCTTTCCCATTTTCCTTATTCTTTTTAAAATTAATTGTTGATTAAATAACTTGCATTTGCTTTAACTTGTATGTAATGGTCAGTGGGTCAGAGAAGTGCCCGGTGCAGAGAGAGTACCCCAGAATGGGGACACCCTAGCCCCTGTCCTAGGTGACCACAGCACGGTTGGAGGTCGAGCCCCCCAGGAATCCTGGGCCCAGCCTTGTTGGGGTTACAAGGACTCTGCCAGACAGGAGAGTGGAAGGGGAGTCCTCAAGGGCAGGGAGGCCACTGGGTAAAGGAAGTGGGAGCGAGGACTCAGATCCTTTCGCTAGCCCACTTCACCGCGGCAGTGCAGAAGCCAGGAAAGTTCCCCACAAGAGCGGAACTATTCCTCCGCTTACACATGGAGTGGAAAATACAGTAGCAAGATTATTAGGATGAGCGAGAGTGAAATACTGCAGATATTTTTATTGCAATTACTTACCGAGGGTCACAGAGAAACTTGGTCTTTTCTCCTTCCTCTCTCCAGATAAGCCATTCTCGAAAAGACGGATGAACAAACATTCGTGTCATGTCTCTACGCTTGATAAGAAACATGGAGAGGTTCTCCATCCTCTGCTGAAAGTCATCCCATTCCAGTGTGCCCTCAATGCTGCCGGCATTAATGGCCTGAAATATATGTTCATCCGTTAATGGATGCAGAGATGCCACGGCCACATTCAAGAGAGGCATAACCCGATCAAAGGAAGACTGTGTTGGGAACTTCATATTGCACTGCAACAGGTAAACCTCAGAGAGAGAGACTGGGACTACTTTATAGCTGGAGCTCTTTAGTACCAGGTAGCCCTTCTCTATGAGATCAAAAGTGAGCTTTAGGTATAGATAGGACCCTTGGCTCAAGGTCTTGAGGTGAGAACTGAGTTTGCCAAATGTAGTGTTGTCCATTTTGCCATTAAGGGAGATGTTGTTCTGGATCTCAGAGCTGCTGTGTATTCGATGAAGGATATATGCCTGGAGGTCCTGATCTATGGCTTCGTTCTCTTCCAGTCTATCCAAAAAAATCCTATGGAAGGGCAACAACTTAATTATTTCCTGGAAGAAAAGAAAAGAAATTATTCATGTTGGAAGGGCTTATTATTAATAAAAATAAACAATCTGTATTCCATCAGCACCTAGAGAGCAAATACCTAAGATGACATGGTCCAATCTAAAACGCACTGGAGTGGGTTTCTTTGTGAAACTAGGTAGCTGAAATAAAACTGAGGAAAGTTTTTCCTAACACACTTGCCAAGGAAAGGGGTTGGAGTATTCACAAAGAGCAGTGCCCTTTAAAATTATAGTCCCATCCCAACCAGCTATTGGACCTGCCATCAGCTTTCTTCTGTGTCATGCAGATGCCCAGGTTAGGGCATCACCTGTGGGCAGCCAAAGCTGGTGGGGTCCAGGATTCTAGGCCTCTCATTGAAACAGACAGCTTAGTATATCTCAAGGAGTGCTGAGTGCAGTAGTCTTCAGCATCATACAGCAGTTGATTAAATGGAAGGTTATTCGTAGATATTTCCTACTGCACAGTGAATGCCATAAGGAAATACTATATATGCCGTTGATTTGCTCAGAGTCAACAGTGGGTTCTCTTTTCTCAGCCAAAGGGCTGTTTCTGAAAGTGTATAGTGTGGGATTGCACATCTGCTATATATCACCAAGATATTGTGGGCTGGCATGTCTGATCTGGTAAGTTCAGTTTACACTGCTCATGCCGCACAAAGTCAGTGTAAATCAGATGGAAGTTTCCCCTAGAGAATTTTACTCTCTGCCGATATAAAGCTAGGAGAGGCAATTCTGCTGCCCCTGCTGGAAACCCCACCCCATGCAAGGGGAATGAGGGGATACATTAGGTGTGTTGTGGTGGGGTGGGTAAATGGAGGTGAATTTAGATTAGCATAAGGTCTCAGAGATATTATGCCAGTGTTGTAAGTTAAAGCTGCCCCTTGAAGCTTTGACTTGCACTGGTGCTGGATGACTGAGAATCAGGGAGCTGCAACCAGCTCCCTGAAAGTAAAGTTTGGGCACAGAGGAGAATCAAATCTTACAATTTAAAAAAAATGAGGGCTACAAAAGCTCTGACCAATTAAATAACTGAGAGCTTAAAATACCAGGAATGCAATTTAAAATCTGTCATTGAAACAAACATTACAAAATCCCTTTTTTCCAGAATGAAATATTTAAACTACCTTAAAATAAAGGGGAAGTAAGAAAGTGTGGCACTGAAATAGGAAGACTGTGCAACCTGCCACTGTAACAAATACAAAAATTGCTAGTGAGAATTGCTAGCAAGTCCCTGCAGTTCTCGATTTACAATAATGGTGAATTACTTCTGGGGTCTGGCTGGGAGAATTACAGCTAAATAGATTGATTGGTATTTTCTTGTCTATTGCCACTACACTAGAGGAAAATACAGTACAGGTTCTGAGCAAAGAGGATGTTCATTAAAGCCTTAGACACTAGCATTATAATGTATGTTAGCAACAGAAATTGAGCGGAAGTTGACATAACCTAAGACAAAAACACTTAGAACAGTGTCAGCTACATTCACTCTAAAACCTCAGAAACTGCCGAAGATCAAGCATTCTAATAGAGTTAAATAGCTTCTTGGACCCATGTTATGACTCCTTCAGACTGTACCAAATAAACACACAGACCCTGAATCAGTCTATCATGGTTATATTCTCATACTGATGGGCAGGAAGTTATGCATGAAATCCCTTCTCCTAGCTTCTTCTCATTTAAGAGAGAATACACGGCTAAGCTCCCATTTCGTAATAGTCCAGTCTCAGAGACTTTGGGCCTGGTCTTGCAAACAGTCTGATGGTGAGTGGTCCTCTTTCATGTGAATAGTCTTGCTGAAATTAATGGAACTACTTGCTGAGCAAGGATTATTGACACGGGTAAAGGGTGCAGGACCAGACTCTTGTCCTGTAACAGTATCCAGAGAAAGAGTCTAGGGGATATAAATCAATCTGAATGCATTACAAAAAGACTGGCGCAAAGGAGAGATAAAATGATATAACTTCAAAAAAAATTAATAATTAAATCTATATGACACTGGTTAAGATTTTCAATAAGAAAACCCATCATGACAAAAATCCAGTGTTTGTGTGTTTAATAGGAAACATGGTCTTAGTATACCTGTAGACTTGTCCTGACCGTCACTATCAACTTCAGCCAGGATGGGAATTTTCCGATCATTTTGCTCAAGAATGATACTATGGTGTCCCCATAATCTGGCTTGTGAAATTCAGCTTCATTTAAACCATCAATTAATATGATGTAGTCTTCATCTGGGATCTTCCTCTCTGAGATGATATGAAAGAGAAAAAGCTTCAGTCCATCGGCTAGCAGCATGGCTACAATGAGCACTCACCACATTGTTTGAAATCAGACATTGCTATAGACGAAAAGAGATAAAATAACTGTACTTCTCAGGTTGCATAAAATATGTATTTGATTTACAATATCTATACAATTGTGACAACCACTTCATTAAAACGATTAAGGCTATTAAACAAGTCACCTTCTCCCCAAACTCAAATATATTTGAGAAATGTGAATCAGCAACTCTCAGCACATTTTGACAAGAACATTATTACATGTACTTTCACTGGTGACATTAAACATCAACAGCGTCTTGATGTAAACCTGTTGCAACATTTACAATTGCTATGAATACGTATGCACAGAAGTATATGCCACTAGCACCTTTAGATAATCTAGATTGGGATGTTGTGTAGGCACACAGTAGACTTTCTAACCAACTAATGCTCATGCTGGGCTAGATTTTCGAACGTGCATGCAAATACTAATAAACATGTGCAAACCATGGTTCACGGGCAGTGCAGGTGTTTGAGCACAAATCAGTTTGCATGCACAGGAGCTGGTCAGATGAACTTTTCAAAATTCTGCCCTCTGTTCAGTAAAGATGGGTCCAGAACAAACCCCTGCCTCATGAACTTCAGAGAAGTTTGGATCTGAATTCTATGGCTCAGACCATCTTGAAGATTACGTTTGCTGACAGTTGTACATGAACATTTTTAAGTGTAGGACCCTGGGCACTTTTCATGCTGCTAACAACATAATTACTGAGGAAAAACGGTGTGGTTTTCATGCAATAAAGTTACATTTCTCAAGCAGATTTTGAAGGCTGAACTTTAAGTTTAGCATTAATCGATGCCAATAAGAGGAACTACGTCTCACTGACACTGCAGTCCATTAAATAAAAATAGCAGTGTCACAAATCTGTCCTTGGCAGAAACCCCCTTTAGGAGTATGTAGGGAGTGCAAGTGTGTGGGTCCAATTGCACCCATCCCAATCAGTGCTGCAGGGATGTATCCCTCTTGTGGGTTGGTGCTTGATCCTCCGGCCAAGACCTCCTTGCTGTTTCTTCCCCTCTCAGGGTCCCATGTGAAGCAAACCAAACTGTCCACAGTCAGCAAAGAAGGTTAAATAAAAGTATGAAGAAAAAGGAAGAAAGGAAAACCTATCTGCAGCTTCAGTTGGGGCACTGGCCTCTCTTACTTCAGAGGGCCATGGCAGTATCACAGTCCCCTTCAGAGTTCCCTGGGTCTCCAGTACAAACCTCAGCCTCATTCCCCTTCTTAGCTCAAGGGATCCACATCCTCCTCCTGCACGGGCAGGGGCTCTGTTGGCTGTCAGCCTCTCTCTCTGGGAGCTGAAAAGCACAACAGCCCTTTCCCTTTCCCGGGTTGTCCCTAGCTGAGCAGAGTCCCCTCTTTTTAACCCCTCCTCCAGACCTGGTCTGGTCTGGAGGGGAGGGGTCCACTGCAGCCCAGAGCAGCTCCTTAATCTGCTTCTGTGCTGGTGCGGCATCACAAGGGGTTTTCTGGGTCAACTGGTTCTCTGTACCAGCCAAGTTGACTTATGGAATCAGAAGTTGGAGACTTAGGCCTTGTCTACACTTAACATTTAGATTGACATAACTATAGCACTCAGGGGTGTGAACTCACAGCCCTGAGCCCCATATCTATGTCAACGTAACCTCTGCTGTAAACATGGCCAGGTCGAGAGAAGAATGCTTCCATTGACCTAGCTACTGCCCATCAGGGTGATGGGCTACCTACAGTGATGGAAAAAATCCTTCCGCTGCTGTACAAAATGTCTACACTACGGCACTACAGTAGTGCCCATAGTGTAGACACGGCCTCATACAGTTATTCTCTCCATCTCTCACCCATGAAGGACTATCCCCCTCAGCGCTTTTTAGTGGGGATGTCACATCTATGAATTTCGCAACTTTTGTTTACTCCCACTGTCTGGGATGTTCACAGCGGTCAGAGGAAGTTAGGTGTCCAAATTTCACAGACTTTCAAAATGGGGGCCTTACTATTATCTGGCTTTGACAATCCCACCCATTACAGCTCACTCTCTCTGAGAGAGATGCAGCCTTCCTAGCACCAAAGACCTCCTTTTAGAGAAAGGCAACTGCTGGTTTTCCCTTTGGCGGCTGCTTAAGACAAGTTTTGCTGTACAATATTGTCTAGTAATACATTAAAAAATTCTAGCCAGGGACATATTTAGTGCACTATTGTACACGTACAAAAGATAGTTGCATTCTTTCTTCAAAAGTAGACCCTGACTGCAGGACAAGACATTTTCAAACCATCAGCACATCAGATAACAGCAGCAGAATTTTAACTGCTCAGATTGCTTTTTGTACTATGTTGCATTAAAGACAACCAATTTTTGTGGTCATCTTGCCACAGCTGAAATCTGTAGAAAAAAGAAACAGGCAGGCAAAGAAGGTGTAATAGAGGTAGAACACAAGAAACAGGTCTATTTCCTGGCCCCAGTTTTCTAACCTGGTTCAGAGCCACAAAAGTTTAATAATAACCATGTCACAAGACAGTATCCAGTGACTATTACAGGGGCTATAAACGGAAAGTATGGGTCACGAACACGAATCAGTTCTGTATGGGGACCACTTCAGTGAGACATCACATGTATCAGCTTGGAAAATGGAAAGACACCTTAATTTTCTCTCCTCCCAAAGGGAACGGACCGTTTTGTAGAACACAAAAGAACAGGTGCATTTAATTTCTAATACAGTTGAGATTTTCCTTGCGTCAGCTCCCTATAAATTACCCTCTTTTCTCTTAGCAGTAAATTAAATCGTATTTTATATTTAATGAGCAGTTAAAAATTATTGCTCCTTTTAATTAGATTATTTGCTATTTTTAACACCTGATCACCCATCTGAAGGTTGTATTATGGCAGTTAAAACTAAATGGCCAAAGACCTGTTTATTTCAGAGGGAACTCCATATATGCTCTGTCATGGCAGCTACAAGGGACTACAATGCTTTTGCTGTGTCCCCCTCAGGGCAAAGAGCAGGGCATTCTCAGTAAAGGGTCCTCACGGGAACGTCTGCAATAAAAGACCCATGGCATGGCCATGGCTGGCCCATGTCAGCTGATTCAGGCTCGGGGGCTTGAGTTGAGAGGCTATAAAATTGCAGTGTAGACATTCAAGAGGGCTGATGACGGGGGAGGGTCCCAGAACTCAGGCTCCAGTCTGCAACTTTATAGCCCCACAGCCTGAGCCCAAGTCAGCTGACCCCAGCTTTGAGACTTGGTGCTGCAGGTTTTTTATTGCAATGTAGCCATACATTGATATCTTGAATTTGTTTTTTCTGGCAAGTCCATCAGAGCCCTTGTCTAGCCACCTTTAGGGTGTGCTGCAAGCCGCACCTTTCTGGAAGTTAGTGCTGCTTAGTGAATGTGGGTTTGGACTGGGAGTTAGGAGACCTGGTTCTATTCCTGAGGAGTGCTGTTGATTTATATTTGCAATACACTCACGACCCCCATCTATACAGTGTTAACCTTCCTTTGTAAAGCACTACAGATGGACTGTGCTATGAAAGTTAGGCATTACAGTTCGCGGGTTAGCTTTTTCTTTTCCCCTTTAATCACTTAAGGAAATATTTAATTAAATTTAAAATAAACAGTACGGTGGTGAAAAGCGTTACCCCTATAATAAATACCTTCAGAATAGCTATACATTAAATCTCATTGTCCGATTATTATCTCTTCATCCCAAGCTTTTTGTATTTCTCCATTTACTGTTCATATGTGTACAGAAAAGGTGTTTATTTTGCATTAAAATCATTACATACATTTTTTCACGTAACTTTTAAGCAGGATGACAGGGCACACTAGGAAATAGCCCTTACGACTCTCTCACCTTGGAGCAAATACGATGGAAGCCTGATTTTTACATCCACATCTCCTGGTTCTCATAAAGCTTATATGGGGGATGGGGAGAAGGAAATACGGTCATGGTTCCCCTACAAGTTGTTTCTATTACTCAAATATATACATAAATACATTTGAAAAATACATATATATAAATACATTTGAAAAATGTGAATCTCAGTTTGTCAGCAATATTCAGCATTAATAATTGATAATAAATGGATAAATAAATTGATAATAAATTAATAAATAAAATTACTGTTTAAAGCTTCAACAGCACCTTGTAAAGGGTCTGTTGCCATATTAACAAATTCTTGTATATTACATATTTTCTTCAACCAATTTCCATATGACGTTCATTTTGTTACAAAACACTTGGTACAAATTAGTTTGCCAACAATCTTAATCAGCAACACTGAAAGATTGGGGTCTTGATCCCTGGATCCAGCTGAGCAATGCTCAGGGAAAGGCACAAGAGGGAAAACCTAGCTTCACAAGAACAGCTTGATTTTCCCTGATCTTAGGTGCCTGATGGGGATGAGTTTGGCTGCCAGCATAATTTAAAGCATCCTCAGAACTGCTCTAAGTTACGTCATCTGGAATGGCCCCCCAGGTGACATTGTAACAGCTGTAGATTACTTCTCTGCCTGCCAGCCACATCTCCAACAAACCCCTAATGCAAAGTGGTGGTTGCAAAGGGTGGAGAGAATGCTGATCTGATGACACTCAGAGATTTCCCCAAGCCAGGGGAATCCACAGCTGGACAGCTGAGCCAGCTTTATAGTCCCTTTGCACTGTACTGAAGTCAGTATTTAGAATCTAGACACTCAGCTTCAAAATAGTGACTTTATTTGAACAACAAAGCTGCTAAATATGACTGGAGTGGTGTTTATATCACTTTGATCCATCTATTGCATTGGGATGAAACGTACAATCGTGTTGAACAATTTCCACAGCCAATATTACACATTGCAGTATTTGTATAAACATGGTTTTGAGAGGGATAGAGCTCTGCACTCTACCCACACCTGAATAGTGTCTATGGCTATGAAGGTCAAAGGTTTTACCGTTAGCCACTCTATTAAGAAAAACTAACTGCATCTTTCTTGTATACAAAAGAAAGAGGAGCAGGTACAGCTGACACTGCATGTGGGAAAATGGAAACGTCCTGAAGGGGTTTTGCTATATCTCCGGAGTCAGTAATTAGGATATGGTCTGTTACCCAGTTCCCCAAAGCAGCATTACGTAAGTCGTCGACAGACTTGTATATTGTCAGCATTTTTGTTTGGAGACTGAGAATTCCCAAGAGCTGATTAAATAATGAATTTTGGAGGGGTAACTGAGTGGAGGAAAAAGTTAGTGACCTAACAAATGAATGCAAAGATGCTATTCTAAGAACAGCTGTGCAAGGCAAATGTTGTTAGCATTCATTTTCAGATCTTTTGGTCCAAATTTTGGATGTGAATGAAACCAAATGTGCTCAAAGTCAAGTGTTCACTCCACCACCTTGGAAAACACAACTGAAGGACTGGGTTGGAAGAGGAGTTACAAACCAAACAAGAGTCTGTTTTCTCAGCCTCCCTAAGTCCTACCTTCTCTTCTACAACTCTTGAATTTTCCTGGTGCGCTAGGGGCTCACACATGGAATCCACCCGCTCCTTGGTTTGGAGGCTCACACTCAAAGAAAAGCTAAGTTAAAAATTCTCAGGCTGATAAGAGTTAAAAACAGTCTTAACCACAGTACCTTTATGAAGATTTTCCAAGGGCTCTAGGACTCCCCTCCGGAAGGAGGCCATGGGATCCTGAACACAGGATCTCAAGCTGAGCATACTCTGTAAATGTGGTTCCCGCAGTAGCTGCTCCCTGTAGGCGACAAACTGTGGTGAGCGGCAGAGCAGTGCTGCCACGTTGTGTACAAACTCTGGCACAAGACAGGTGTAGGCATTATCGGCCTGGCAGTAATGGTAAGCGACAACCTACCAAAGGGAAAAGAACAAAAATATATCTACATCAGACACCAGTCAGACAGATGTTAACGCAGCATCTTTTTTGTAAATTTCACTTACTCTGGCAGGCCAAGTCTTTAGAGGGACCCCTGTTAACTGCCTTTGACATTGATCCAGATGAATCAGCTGGTAAAAACAGGTACTGATCCTTAAAAATTATTAGATGTGCCACTTGTGGAACAAGTGAATTAAAGTGCAGCCATTCACAAAAGTAGACAGTGACAACAACGAATTGATCTGTCTGAAGTACTGCATGATAGACTTGTGCTCCACTGTTTCAGATCTCCCCTGTCAGTCATAAGCTGCGATTGGTTTTTAAACTTACATTTTATTTGGTGTTTTTAAAATATCAAGCTAAGCATGGAAACGGATGTACGGTATACAGCAATATGTTAAAAAGAGGACCTTTCAGCACTGCAAAACCTGCAAATTACAGATTCTCCTGAACAAAGGGGCTGCCAGATTTACTCTACATTCCATACCCTCTCTCACAAAGGTTCTCCTGCAGAGAACTAACTAAAGAAAAATCTCCCCTTCCCCATCGCATCCCTAAGTCCCAGCTCTTTGGTCTCACTGCTGCCAACCTTCTCAAATAAACAGAAGTGCAACCAGATCCTCCTTCCCCTTTCCATTTTTCCACTGGTTCCAGGATCAGATTAAAAACTCCTCCCTCCATGGACTGTGTTATGCTGTATAGAATTGTGAGACACTTTATATTATTATTAATACCAATATTATAAAATTGCAATGGATTGTGCCAGATATGCCGTATAAGGTGTCAGTGAAAATGTTATGATTTGCCAAGTATGGTAATCTTGTTTATATGTTTGTATCACCTTTGTATTGTAAGTTATATATGGTATATTTGTATTTCCAAACTTGTGCTGTTTTTATGGGTGACACCCCCAAACAGATTGGCATCAGCACTGCCTAGCCTGTTCGATGGCCCATCAGCTGTACAATGAACCCACTGAAAGGAGCCAAGGGATACACCTTACGAGTCAGCAAGGCATGTAGGGACAGGCTGGTGGACAGAGAACTCTAAGGTTTCTCCACGCCATGTGCTGTGAAGCTTGTGTTTGGGACACAGAAAGTACAAACCACATGGCAAAAGGAATATAAAGGGCAGCTGCATCATCTCCATTTATCTTCAATCCTGCTTCTTACCTCTGGTTTTCTACAAACTGAAGCTCTGAACAAATGACTGAATGGCCCATCCAAGCTTTGGGTGTGTTCCGGAGGGACTTTCAAGCCAACAAACTCACCAATACTGCTAAGAATCTGATATATGGACACTGAAGTCTCTGTATGTATCTGATTGCTTTATCATTTAACAACTCTCTTCTTGTTCTTTTCTTTTATAATAAACCTTTAGTTTTAGATGCAATAGGATTGTCTGGCAGTGTGGTATTTTGGGTGAGATCCAGACTGATGCTGACCTGGTAAGGTGGCTGGCCCTTTGGGGTCAGAAGAACATTTTGTATAAGTGAGCAGAGTTTTTAAGTAACTTCTCACTTTACTGGACCTCTGTGCTAACTGGGAGGCTGAGAACTGGAATGGGGGCTGTGTGATTTTTTTTTCCAGCTTCTTGGTAACCAGGGAGGGGGATCAGGAGCACAGTTTGCGACTGGTTGGTGAGTCTAACTTCAATGTTAGCCACCAGTTTTGGGAGAATCTGCGCTCCTTTTTTTCAGCCTGCCCTGATCTTGGCATTTTCAGTGAGAGCTGCCCTAGGCACTTGAGGTCACAAACTGCTTCAGTCTGTAGAGGACAACTCTCCCTGTTCCCTCTGCTGTTCTCTCTTTCTCCACCACACCTGGCCACTTGGAGGCAAGTGTCCTCTTCCTTTCAGTTTCGGTCATCTTGGTCAGCCTTTCCATAGCACGCTTCCCCATCCACTTTCCACCTCTTTTAAAATCTCATTGACAATATCATTCTTCTATAGTTCTTCATTTTAACTCTATTTATTTTATTCTGCAATGCATTTGGGGGTCCATTTTGTATGAAAGACATGATATAGTGAGGTGAAATCCCACTGAAATTCAGAAAACAATATATAGTTTTTGAACATGGGGGTGAGGAGAGAGAAGCAGATAGAAATTTAAAAAGCTAATTTTTCCCCTATTCATAATGTAATGACATTGGCCCCAATTATGGGCCGTGCTTCTGCACTAGTGCAAAGTGTTCTTAATCCCAAAGGATCTAGTCCTTTGAGGAGCCACAGATGGATCCTTGGTGATATAAGCCGCTACTCAACATTGCTCATGGCTGCTGGTATAGGGTGGCATGCCTTGGGCTTTAATGCCTCTGAACTGCCATAACGAACCCTTGGTTGGCAACAGCCTCTAGAACATCCAAAGATGTGCTCGTTCTGAGATGCTGTCAGGAGTGAACATTTATTTTTATCTGAACCAAGCAGATATGACTTTGTAAGGCATCATTTTTCTCATCCTAACTGCATTTTAAGCCTTGGCATCAAAAAGTGCAAAGGAGGTTATAAATAATAAAAGAGACTTTTCACTTTACTCCCATTTTTGGTTTTGGTAAATGTCACCACCGAAGCTGAAGGCAGCACTGAGAGTTCTTTGCTGAAGTATTTGGTAAAGTTCAATTTAGCCAGTCTCAAATGCTTTCTATCCAACACCTTTTACACATTGTGCTAATTCTCTAAATATAGATTACACTGAAAAGAAGAAAACAATACGCATGCAATGGAAGTGAACTGAGAATAAAAGATTACATTTAAAATGTATATTTCCATTATTTTCCTGATGATTGAGCAAGTAATTTCCATGTGATCTTTTGTAAGTACAAGTCAAGCCATTCCAGGTAAAATATTAAGGAGTCAAGACATTATATTCTTTACATTAAACAGCAAATATCAGTGGTCACACTTGTGTATTTTCTTTTTAAAGACAGCTTCAAAGTAATTTATTCTTGTTTTATGCATATTTTCCCTCAAGTGATTCCCCATGCTGGTGCATGGGATCATGACACCAATCAACCATGGCAAACCATCTGCACAGTTTCTGCATACAGTGGAGTTAGTGCTCTTAAGCAATTTACACGTTTCTGTTTTGAAACTTGAAAAAACAGAAAATACTTCCAAGTGACTCAGTTCAAAATGTTGTGGGTCCTGAAGGCAGAGAATTCTCTCTCTCTCTCTCTCAGCAGAAGTATGAACTCAGATCTTTTGCTTCTACCTCGGATAGTGCTAAAACAATTCCTTGGCAACTTAGCTTGCGCACCCCTTGAAAAGAGATAAAATAATGCAGAGCAGTACATTTTGGAAAGGTTAATTTCCTAGAACCACCTGGATCTCCAACTTTCTTGTATAACAAAGTGTCATAAATATAAAGGGAAGGGTAACCACCTTTCTGTATACAGTGCTATAAAATCCCTCCTGGCCAGAGGCAATACCCTTTCACCTGTAAAGAGTTAAGAAGCTAAGGTAACCTAGCTGGCACCTGACTCAAAATGACCAATGAGGGGACAAGATACTTTCAAATCTGGGGGGGAGGGAGGGGGACACAAAGGGTTTGTCTGTCTGTGTGACGCTTCTGCTGGGAACAGATCAGGAATGCAGCCTTCCAACTCCTGTTAAGTTAGTAAGTAATCTAGCTAGAAAATCCGTTAGATTTTCTTTTGTTTAATGGCTGGTAAAATAAGCTGTGCTGGAGGGAATGTATGTTCCTGTTTTTGTGTCTTTTTGTAACTTAAGGCTTTGCCTAGAGGGATTCTTTATGTTTTGAATCTGATTACCCTGTGCGGTATTTACCATCCTGATTTTACAGAGGTGATTCTTTTACCTTTTCTTTAATTAAAATTCTTCTTTTAAGAACCTGATTGATATTTCATTGTTCTTAAGATCCAAGGGTTTGGGTCTGTGTTCACCTGTACCAATTGGTGAGGATTATTATCAAGCCTTCCCCAGGAAAGGGGGTGTAGGGCTTGGGGGGATATTTTGGGAGAAGACATCTCCAAGTGGGCTCTTTCCCTGTTCTTTGTTTAAAATGCTTAGTGGTGGCAGCATTCTGTTCAAGGACAAGGCAAAGTTTGTACCTTGGGGAAGTTTTTAACCTAAGCTGGTAAAAATAAGCTTAGGGGGTCTTTCATGCAGGTCTCCACATCTGTACCCTAGAGTTCAGAGTGCGGAAGGAATCTTGACACAAAGAAATATGATTATCACAATTTTTGTAGCCTTTTTTGTTTTTAACACATTACAGGGCTTAAAAAAATACCCGTTAAGTAGAAACTAGAATACTGACTCTAGCAGCCAAATGCCAATAGGAAAGGTGCTGCCACTCCTGAAGTGAGGTGAAGGAGCAATTAATTTCTCCATTAGTGAGAAATGCTTTGTGCATCATCCTCCTGGCTACCAAGAGTGCGTGTTTTGGGGCTCCTACTATGATACTGACATTAAATCTTACCCAGACTAGTCACATTGCTCTTGGCTAGTAAGTGTCACAAAAACTGAGATCTTCCTTTGCTCATTTTTTCTATTCTTGCCTCTCCAATCTCTCTGCTTCCCTCCCTCCCCCTCCGCAACCTCTCTCTCCATTGTGGCCCAATCTTCACCCGTCACTTTTTCCATTCAGCCTGAAACAACCGTCACCACTCACTCTTTCTCTCCTTCACCACTCCATTCTGTTCCCTCTTCAGTCACCCTTTTCTGGATGTGGGGATCAGCAGGAACATTCAATCCTGATCGTTAGAGAAAACACACAGATCTGCATTTCTCCCAGCGAAGAATGGGTTTTCCACACTCTGTGTATGTGTGTTATATGCACTATACCTTCAAGGTCAAGCCACTGGTTTGATCTGACCTGTACAGCACAGTACAATAATTAAATTTTACTTGACTTGAATTGGGTTTTGGTTCAGATTAAAAATGGTGGCAGGATTACAGAAGATTAGAGGGAGGAAGGAAGATTTCCTGGTATAGGTGGGATTTAAGGAGGCATCTGAAG